TTTTGTCTAAAATAAGGCCACACCCAACTTTCTCTTAGATTTAGTCTTTTGGAATAGGTAAAAGTCCTTTTTTTTCGAACTCTTTTACCTAAACTATTAGTAACAGTAACTCTATTTGATGGAGGTTAATCAGAAGAACTCGAACCTGATTCAGAATCTAGGTTATATACATTTTCTGATATATTAGATATATTTAATTCATTTAACTCATTTAATTCATTTAATTCCTCTTTATTGGGCCAACTTAAAGTATTACTGTTGTAAGAACTAAGCTGATGAAAATTGTGTGTTGACATTTATTAGTGCGGTTTCTATTTAAGCAATAAGTATATTGAAGTTTTAAGGTCTTTTCTTTTATTTATATATAATTTTTTCTGTTTATATTGCATTACTTTTTTTTTTTTTTTTTAATAACTGAAATTTCGTTATTCAAATTTGAGTTAAAGATAAAATTTCAACAATAGAATTATGCATATAACTGTTATTCTTTGGAGAATTATCGACCAAATTTATGTATCAATCAGTTTCATAGATTTTGATCTATCATTAATAACTCACGATCTTGATAATTTGATAAATCTGAAGCTTCTCACTGAGAGGATTGAATGATATCAAATCATCAAGATTGAATCACTAGATCAAGAGTTATCAATAATAGATCAAAATGTACGAATTTGATTGAAACACGAATTTGGTCAACAAAACCCATAGCAGTTTGGCTATGAACTGATATTGCATATAGTATAAAGGTTATTTTTTCAAGATCTAATTAACAAGTACTTCAGAGTGACCATTAAGAGTACGGGCATATGATAAGATGTCACATCTATATATAAAAACTTCGCAGCAATAAAGCTGCATGCAGGAGCTAGACAATTCAATAATTTTCTATGATGTAGTGTCTTATTATATGCCTATAGTTTTGGTGGTTGCCCTAATGCACTCCTAATTAATCTTCACTGAAGAATAACTATTATGCGTATTGTATACAACTGCTAAATGAACAAGAAAAGCTAGTTTATATTCTACCAATAATAGCATCAAATTCAAACAATAGCAGTGCATATAATTTTATATATACGTATCTATTTATTAATATTCATGAGTTTATATTGTATTAACTTTAGCCTTATAGATATGTTTAAATTATATCTGAAA